TTTACATGACCTCCTCCAAGTCACCCTTGGACGACCAACTCGCCGCCTCCCTTTCGGGTTCCACTCGAGGGCTTGTCTAGTGATGTCACTTGATGGTTTCCTCAGCGTATGGCCAATCCATCTCCATTTCTTTCTGCCTATTTGTTTCACAATCGGTTCCTGATTGGTTCGCTCCCAGAGATCCCTGTTGCTGATCTTTTCTGGCCATCTGATCTTGAGTATTGAGCGAAGACAGTTGTTAATGAAGGTTTGAAGTTTGTTTGAGATGCTCTTTATGACTCGCCAAGTCTCTGATCCGTATAGTAGCACTGACTTCACATTGGAGTTGAAAATCCGGATCTTATTTTTGATGCTGATTGCTGTTGACCTCCACACAGATTTGAGAGTAATGAAAGCTTGTCTTGCTTTTCCGATTCTGGCTTTGATGTCCTCGTCAGTTCCGCCTGTAGTTGAGACGATGCTTCCCAGGTAGGTGAAGGAGGTTGTTTCTTTCAGGTTCTTCCCATTTATGCTTATTGTGGTCTGTTGTTGTTCTGTTGATGTTGGCTAGGAATCTTCATTATCTCTGTTTTATCTATGTTCACGTGAAGTCCTATCTTTGATGCTTCTTCTGCCAACTTGTTACTTTTCACTTGCATATCTTCCAGTTTATGGGAAATCAGACATATATCATCGGCGAAATCCAGATCCTCCAAGTCTTTTGTGTCAGTCCATTTTATGCCTGTTCCCTCGTTGGTTGCCGTTGTCTGTCGCATTATCCAATCAATTGCAATCAGGAAGATCATTGGTGATAGTAGACAGCCTTGCCTCACTCCCGTCCTCACTTCGAAGGCTTCCGTAAGTTTCCCGTTGTGGATTACTTGGCATGCAGCATTGTCGTATAACTGTTGGATGAGGTGTATAATTGTCGATGGGACCCCGTAGTAGCGAAGTAGTTTCCAAATGACCTCTCGATCGACGCTGTCGAAGGCCTTTTCAAAGTCGATGAAGTTGAGATAGAGAGGTGACTGCCATTCCAAGCTTTGTTCAATGATGATCCGTAGAGTGGCGATTTGATCAATACATGATTTGTTTCTCCTGAATCCAGCCTGTTCCGGACGAAGTTTTTCATCTAGGGCTTGTTTGATTCTCTCCAGGATGATGCGACTTAGTATCTTGCTTGGAATGGACAGAAGCATAATTCCACGCCAGTTTTTACATTGACTTAAGTCTCCTTTCTTTGGAAGTTTGAATAAGTAACTGTTCTTCCAATCCTCGGGTACTTTGCCCTCTTTCCACACCTTCTCCAGTAGTGGTGTCATCAAGTCCGCTGTTGTCTCTGGGTCTATTTTCAAAGCCTCTGCTGGGATTCCATCTGGTCCCGGTGTTTTCCCAGCTTTAAGCATCTTGATTGCATTCAGGACTTCTGATTTCGTCGGGGGGTCAGTGTTCACTGGTAGTTCTGCTTCCGTTGTTGGTATTGCTGGACGTGTTGTAGGTGGCGGACGATTTAGAAGTCTTTTGAAGTGTTCAACCCAGTGCTTTCTCTGTTCCACCTCTTTGGTGATTGACTTTCCATTGTCGTCCTTTATTGGCTTAATCTGTGTCGAACGTTTGCCCGAAAGGTTCCTAGTTGTTTGGTAGAGTGTGGCGAGGTCTCCTTTGCCTGCAGCTTGTTCTGCTTCGTTTGCCATGGTTTCATAATATTTTCTTTTGTCTTCCCTGGCACTTTTCTTCACTCTTTTGTTCAGTGTATTGTAGCTTGCATTCAGCTCCTGTTTTTGTTGCTCGTCAGTGCACTGGATAATCTTTTGCTTCACTGTCCTTCTCTCTTCTATTAGTTTCCAAGTGTCCGTAGTGAGCCACTGTTTGTCCTGTCTCTTTTTTCTGCCTAGAATTTCTATGCAGGTTTGGCTCCACACCGTTTTCAAGTTGTTCCAGTGCTTTTCAACGCCGACCTCTTCGCTAGTGTTGATTTGTGTCTCGGCTTTGTCCTTTATGCTTGCAATGAAGATGTCCTTTGTAGCCTGGTCCTTCAGCTTTTGAGTGTTGAACTTGGCTTGTGGTCTATCTGCAGCTCCTGATTCCCTGAAAGCTTTTAATTTGATTTGGATTGTCCCTTGTACGAGATAGTGGTCTGAGCCAACGTCTGCTCCTCTTCTTGCTTTTGTGTCCAGTAGGCTGCGCCTCCACTTCCTTGAGATTGAGATGAAGTCGATTTGGTTTTTGGTTTGCCCGTCTGGTGACACCCATGTAGCCTTGTGGATATCTTTGTGCTTGTATACACTGCCACCAATCACCAGTTCGTTGAAGGCGCAGAAGTCGGCGAAGAGTTCTCCGTTTTCATTCATTTCTCCTAGAGCTTCTCTACCCATGATGAGTTCCCTTCCCGTATTGTCTGGTCCCAGTTTGGCGTTCATGTCTCCCATTAGTATTTTCATGTCGCCAGCTGGAGTATTGTCCATTGTTGCCTGTAGAATTCTTCTTTCTTCTGGTTGAAAACTAATTAAACATAAACAACAAACATACAGGGTTATGAGAGGAAAGCTAGTCAACAAGCTGCTAAGTTGGAATTGTACCCTACTGAATGCCTGGGAAACTATTCTGTTGAACAATGATCAGTTTCATTTGATGACTGATTGCTGTAATATTTGACAAAAGCAAACAAAGGAAATTCACTATGAATACGCATTTATGAAAATGTCTTGTATTTCACTACAAAATTTTAACTATTACCTTAATTTAGTTATCTTAATCTATCAATATTTGTAAGGATTGCTATTTTCCACTTCAAAACCTAGTGGTTCAACTCATAGACATTCACATTAGTTAGGACAGCATGCTTTTGAAAATTCCAACCGAAAAAGGTGTTCTATGGCTTAAGGTAAAACTTGTTAAACATGGGACGAGTGTATCTTACTCTTCAGATAACTTTTTTCATAAAACTTCTGTAGTGTACTTCAGGTTTGTTCTCTTTTTCCATCAAGGAATTAAGTAATAAAGTTATACCTTAGATACGTTTACACAGCGAAATATTCCCATATATCGAGGAGACATAGTCACTCGACATTCAGGAGTTAATTTTTAGGAATTTGATTGAAGTTTGATCACTGGTCAATTGTTAGAGAACCACAGAAAACCAGGTGTAAATGAATGTGCACATTGAACGTTGGTTCATTGGCCTTGGTCGCCATTGGCGGGCAACTCGAAGGCGCGAGTGTTTCGACCATATACAATTTGGAGGAAGACGAAAGAATATGAGTAAAAGTGCAATACATTCCTTGTAAAACATTTATTTATAGACTTTGTACCGATATTGAATTTAACTGCCGAAGAATACTATTTCTTATTGGTCCTTGTGTTTTGGAGTTAAAGTCGATAATCGTACCTAGTATAATTATCGATTCGGAGCGTCTTCGCAAATAACAGGAACTTAGGGTAAGTTCCTTAACACCAGGGGTAACTTGATACCTGTTCCTTCTTAGCGTGGGACTTTTCAGCGGTATACACTCATGCCCCCCATTGGGGACCAGACCCAGGACCCTCAGGTTATGAAAACAAGCTCGTTGACTATTAAATCAGTTCGGCCGGAATACGATGGCTCATGAACCCTAACTCCTGTGAATTGACGATTTCAGCACGACCAAAGGCCAATGTTATCGGCAAGTATCTGTCCTCATACTTGATCTGATGGACCTCACTGATCACTCAGTATTCATGATTATATTTAACTTATATGGTTCATCTTATGGAAAAACATCTACGTTTTAGATTAATCAGTTCATATGCCGAACAGAAGAAGAAAGACGATGCGTTCAAATAAAAAAAATATTCAGTTATCACAAGCAAAATGAACAAAAATTCAGGAGTTTCATCAGTTTTTCTAATTTTAACGGTTATGAATACAAACATATCTATAAAGAAGAATGAGAAGTAAAATAACAAAAACAGTCTAAGTATTGTAAATACACCAATAGTGTTATGGGTAAGTATAGTCAAAGTGCAATCCTGTCAAAAAAGTATTATATTACAATGTGTTATATCCAAAAATCAAACTATACATAAAATCGTATCCTATTCGACATTTTGATCAGTTATCTGTAACCTTATGAAACAAATCTCTCTAGTTAACTGAATAGAACTGGCCTATCGAGTAACCTGTGCACAAAATTCTGCAATTATATTGTTCGCTTACATCTATTGTTCTAAATCCAATTCTGTTGCTGAATTACACCTTTTTGTTTGTACTAACTATTTGTGAATTGCACAATATGAGAAAATTTTACACGTACATAGAAAAAGTAGGACAGAGATATTTCTGTTATTTTCAGGTATTGGTTTTTTGTAGGGATTTTGTTTGATTGCATGGAGGATTTAATCATGAGCTGACATCAGTTAGACCACCATTGGATCGGGTCCCAGTGGCTCAATGGTCTACGAGCTCGCCTTGTAACCAGAAGGTCCTGGGTTCGAATCCCGGTGGGTGCGTACTGCTGAGGAGTCCCAAACTAGGACGAAACGGCTGTCCAGTACTCCCAGGTTTTCCAGTGGTTCTCTAACTGATGTCAGCTCATGATTAAAATATTTCTGTTATAACTACGATTGAATAAAATTGAACAAATTAAAAAAAGATCAGTTTAGACTGAAAGTAATTTATTCAGTACGAATTTAGTAGAAATCATATCAAATTATTAAAAATACAGTAAAAATGTTACGTTTTTTCCTCAAATACCGAAACTTGGAAAAAACATCAAAGGAAATCAGTTATGCACCCAAACTTTTTAATAAAATTGGAATTTAAAAAAATTACCGAAAGTACGAAACTGTAACAACAGTTGGACAGAAAGAGAGAAGGATACAGCAGGTTAACAACAGCAAATCAAAAAAGAGTAAACAAGTATCAAGGTCAAATAACTTATAAATCACAGCCATGACGTCCCGTTTTTGTAAAGGAAAACTACAAAAACGTTATTAAGATTAAAAAAATTACTTGTCATGAATTTCAAAAATCACAATGTTTTCTAAGACGAAAGAAAGTCAATTTCCTCTCTCAGTGCATCACCCACTTTTCCAGCTAAATTACAGTAATAAGTTGCAGCTTCATGATGACCAAGTTTTGTAAGTATTGAACCGAATTCCATAAATATTGACGAGTACAATGAGTCTATGAGTTAAAAAAAACAAATAGTGTTAGTTAGATTTAGAGCAATAAACAGTGTAATAAGTAACTAAAAAAATATGATGGAGAACTTCGAAAAAAACCTACAGCCCATTGAAAACGAAAGAGTACGAATAAATCTTGTTGAAGATTTTACTTTTGGATTAAACTTTAGCCTGAATAAGAATTACACTGATTTGTAGTTACTATTATGAAATACTTTGAAGGTCACCAACAGATCCGTAGAGCATGCTCTTAATTGGATTAATGGGCACAATTGTTATCTTTTAAGGCAACCTATTAGTGATAGCCAACAGATCACAATGAGATGGACACACAGTTAGCACAAACTCAAAAGGGATAAAAACAAATAATCAATCCCTGATGTCATAGAGATAAAGATATACGCAAAACAGGTGGGATAACAAACAAGCAGCTCTTACTAAAATTTTTTTCAAAGTTTTTTCCCATCACAGACCTGTTACCATGTCACGCTCCTATATGATAAGCATTGCTGCCATATGAAAATAAATCAGTGATCAAAACGCTCTTAAATAGAGACTTAGTGTTTCTTTCGTAATTTTATATGTGACAATGAGAGAAAGATCTATTTCTATATCCAGTACGAATTAGGTACCAAACAAAATCAATTACTGATATCAAAAAAACGAAAACAAATGTTTACACAGAATAATATGAGGCCATCTTCTAGTTCCTCCCTCGCTCATCAGTCGTCTACAACCTAAAAGTTCAAAACGTACATCTCAGATATGCAGACAGAATAGGTCAGATACGACACCTTGTCCACACGCCTTCTGAAGACCAATGGACGATTGGAAAACACGACTCCTGCGACTACAGAGAAATATATTCTCGAAGATGATTAAATGAATCACTTGACGATATCACAAGCTGTCTGCCTTGAAATACAGGACAATGTAAACTTTCCTTTATGAAACAAGTAATGTTCCGTTCCACTGAACTTTCAGCTCGATATTCTTGCCGATGAATTTTAAAGAGTGTCCATTTTGGACAAAAGTTTCTTTCAGATCTAGTTCTGCTTCCAGGACGTCAGTACTGTACATGCGTCGGATCAAAGTGGCAAGGGATTTTAGTTCAACAAGCCACCCAACTGTAGAAACTTGTTAGCTGACCGTTACAAGTGAGTCTTCTATGGATTGACCTTCTTAATGTTTCGTCACGTTAGTTAGTTACTTCCACATTAAGAAAGGAAATTTTGAATTTGTTTTCCATTTCTAAATAGAATTTTATTGTCGGATGATAGTTGTTAAATACTTGTAGCAATTGACTGGGGTCATATCTACTATCGCAAATGATGAAAATGTCATCTACGCACCTTTTATACAGTTGTAATTTATAAATGTTTGTATATAAATGAGATTGTGCAGCTAAGGAAAATGAATTCGCCGAAAGAGACTCTTCGCTGGACTACATGTTTTGTTTTCATCAATAAAACTAAAGTTGTCAGAACATTAAAATAACGTATTTCACCGAACGGCATTAAAATGCATATGGATCGCCACCCCTTCACTAAATTTAGGGTACAAATTACCCATACATTTACCTCCCATAATCCGAACACTCCATTCGACCTAGAAAATTGCTTAAATAAGCAACCCCGTTTAGGATTTTGTACTAAGGGATGGATCAAATATATTGTGAAATAATTTGAAGCGATAGCCAAATCCACGTGATCCCACGAAATTAATGGAAAACGGCTTAAATTTGTCAAAATCGAGTTTAACGCTCAGAATATTACTGATTGACAACACATACACGCACACCATATTCTTATATTTAGGAGTTGCATGAGCACATCATAAAACCAAAACTATTCCTTAATCTAACAGCAGTCTGTCTGTTACATCATTTTTTGTAAACGTGATCTATTTACTTTGAGTATATATTTACATCAATATTTCTACGTATTACCATAATGGGCTTCATAAAAATTCATATGGAATAAGATATGTATTTTCGACAGAATAAAATAGTGAACGAAAGGAGTACGAAGGCAGCCTTGATAATTATGACCTATCACAATGCTTTCTAGCTTTTTCCTAATGACGTTTTAAAACTTTTCACTAGATTACTTCCATTCCTACATATTTAACCTAATTGGGTTTAATTTTATGCATAAATGACAACTTCAACCAAAAGGTAGTAATAAGAATTTCACAAATGATGAACCTTGTCTGTTTTTTGCTCATTCAATAAAATAGCTAGTCCGGAAACCTAAATTCTAGAGAATAACTTTATGAAAATGGTTGACTTGTACATCTCACAACAACTACTGATACTTATCAAGCAAATGTAAGATTTCCAAGCAAAATAGATGCAACATCAACAGAATCACGAATATATTTTGTTACCACTAATACTAATGCAACTTTATATCTCTATATTAACCATTCTATCACGCCAAATGACCCAATACCCAACAACATCAGATAGAACCCACAAAGAGGCACTGAAAACTGACCCAGAATCCTCAACGGACATGCTCACGCCACTGCTGAAGAAGGTTGGGAGGAAAGCAGAGGAAACTTTCGAAAGGAAGCAATGCCACCTTGTCAAATTCCCAAAGAATGGAGACTTAAGATTACGCAAGAGCTGGTGAAGAATCACATTCCTGTCCACCCTGAGCAGAACATAAAGCCACGTCATCCTATAAAGTCCAAAAGACGCTATGTGTGTAAGATTCCGCCCCGAACAGGCAGGATTCAGGATAGACGAATCATCTGAGTATTAAATATCAACATCTTCAGTGCCAATTTCATATAAAGTGAACTTATTTGGATTCTCCATCAATGATGTGATTTCATTTCCTGACAACCTTTATTCTGGTTGATTGTTAATTTACATTAGTATTGACCGTCTTTATTGATATGGAAGTCGTTTGTTAGGTCGGGCAATCTACCACTATTTGCCACAAAGTCCGGAATGGTGTATGCATTCGCCTGATAGGCTCAATGAGTTGGTTCATCTTGGAGGATGTTTAGTGTCATACAGTCAATCAGATATCGATTATTTATTTATATTTTATAATCTCGGTTGATTGCAAATGATATATACACCACGTATGTTTGAATAATAAAAAGGTTGTTGTCACAGTGAAATCAGACTTTTATGTCCAAAGTGAATATTTAGTTTATAATGTCGTATCTAGAGGCGTATTTCTGGTCTGTTTGGACCACAACCACTGATCAGTGACACTCCGTTATCTTATATTTGGCGACATGTTATTCTTTCTTCCTTTTACTTGCCTAGATTTATCGCGTTAGCACTACATTTCACTCGGAACGAATAATAATCAATAATAAGAAAGTGCTGGTGAGTACTATTTGAATTTCATAAATAATCCAAATACCATCTATATTTGACGGAAAATACCAGCAATCGTTACCAGAATATCAAAAAACCCATACAAATAAACAGTCCAAAGTGAAACAATAAATGCAGCATTTTAGCTAACCTGTTTCCTTTGTTGGTTTCAATACTCCCAATTCATAGCATGCTTCTAAATATCTGGCTGCTAATTGATATTGATTAAGGCTGGAAAGCGACTTTAAAACAGCATTATGATCTTCCAAATATAAATAAACAAGGACAGCCAAGTCCTAAAACAGTAGTTCAAAGGGAGATTCCATTATGTGATAAAACGCAGAAACCTGTTAACAATCAACTACCACAAAATGAAATCTTACACGTAATGATTACCAATCAACAGTGACGAAACAGAAATAAAGCAACTGGGAGCAAGAATCCACACCTAAACATTGATACAATTACTGACCAATATAAGGTAATTTAAAACCATTATAAAACGTAACTGCAACAATATGTTTCGAAGAACAGCTGGAAAAACCCTAATTATATATTTAAATACTCTCAGAGGTAAAGTAAAACCAGTTTTAGGCCGTCAGGTGATAATCTTCACTATCGTGAAAAAAATCCGAAAGAAAACCTTCAGACAGGTTACTTAGTTTGCTCAAACAATTAAACACTAAGAGCCAATAAATAAATAAATATTAATTTCACTAACTGGACTCTTCTATTCGATCTATTGGTTTCTGGAGTCATCAGAGAAGTCAGATTCAAGTGTGAAAGATCTGAGTATGAAATGAGGATTCTAAAACACTTGAATAATTAGAAATAATTTTAACAGTATAGAGGAAAGACAGTTCCCACGACTATAAACATCAAATACTTATTTAACTTCATCAGTTCGCCATTTAGTGACAGTAGCAACGCAGTTTTCAAATACCTCCTTCCTGTCAATAAAAAGTTAAAAGAAAATCTGGGAGTTCCACGAGAGCTCCTGTCCCAATACTGGATATTGGGATCGGAATGTGTCAACATTATAAAATGTGTTATTCCAGTACAAGACTTCATATCAAATAATACTGTTAAACAGAACTAGATAAAACCGAAAGAGATTATGATATTGAGTTTGTAATCCAAAGGTGACAGTGTGGCATGCCTGAAAAGACTACTCGGCTTAATCAGAGAGCGGGAACGAAAATGGATTTTTAATTTAATAACAGAACGACTTGTAAACTTCGACCGTTCAGATCCGCTTGAGAAATTATTTGAAATTCTCTAAAAGATTTTATCAAACCTCTCAAAAAAGGAATGAAACTTGGACTTAGATTAAATATCAGGGATCGAAAATTCAATTCAACGCTGTATCTAAAAAAATATGTCCAGTCTTTATCTTCGCCATAGACTTAATCGAAAGCTTACATTTTAGATAAATAGATCACTTTCTCTGTCCCCCACCTCGTTTTCCTTCTCTAATTACTATGCGTACTACGTAACTCCACTTTATTATTTGACACATTTTGACCTCTGACAGAATGCTGACATTTCTTTACCCTTTCATTATATACTCAGCTTAGTGGCTGACTTTACAGAGATTGAATTTTTTACTCCATTGTGACTATTTTTCATCCTATGATCAAATAAGCATATTGCACTTTGTAAAGAACATCAACGTTTGATTGATGGTAAGAAAAGTGAACAATGGTTTGAGTGTTAATTCCTTTCCCATCTGTCACTTCTTATTGCTTCTTTTGTGTTCAGCGTTATACTACTTACCACTAGTAAGTAGTAAGAGTTCATATTTGTTACTTCATAACAATGACCTTCGCTGTTGAATTTATATATATATATATATATATACATTCTTAGTTTGCCATTCGCGCTCCGTTTAATATGACCGTAGATCTCCTTTGACACTTCTTTGTTGTTTTGTTTACTAACTCCCAATGACTGTGCATTTGACCACAGAGCTACAGACACCTCACATTTCATTACTTTATGTACACTATAGTACCGTATTCTAGGCAAATCCTGTGTTTTTGGATTTTACGCGTGACCAAACTTGTGGTTTAACTAATCAGGATTTCTTAGAAGACAACACTGATCTTATCGGTCATACTCACTGAGACGTACGATCTCCACCTACTTTCACCTTTACATCTCTCAGATTTGATTAACCGACAAAAAGAAGACATAACAAACAGTCTCTACAAAAAGACGATGAAAAGATGTCCGAATGAAATGCTTGAAAAAACATCTACACCAGGTTATAAGTGAATAAAAACGAAAAGTCCAATCTACCAAAAATTAAACTAAATTATTATAACATACTTTTCGATGAACCTGAGAGGATGACAAGTAAGATGCCCAACGTCTCAATACTTTATCATGTTCTCCATTTGATAGTGTACACTAAAAGAATACAAAGATGTGTAAGACAAAAATCTGTAATCAGGAAAAGAACCTACAGTAAGTGCATGTTAAACGATTACCACACACCTGATGATACTTAAGTTTTATTTCCCCTATCGTTTATTACGAGAAGCAGATATCATTTTAATGCATATGATTCATATCACGGCAGAAATTCGAGATGATAACAAAATTCTTATGCCAGTATGTTACTCACTTCAATGGTTAACATTCCTTTTCCGTGGGAAAGAATTAAAACAATGATATATATCCATAATTTATCCCATTAGCCTGTTGTCAGACAAAAATAAATCACATGCCACATGATGGGTACCAATCAATTACAACTCAGCATGCAGTCAAGGCCTGTTATTCAACCTCGTGACTTGATGAATATATAGCGTATATTTTTGTGTCCTGTGATATTCTTTTCTCGCACTTGTTTGGAAATACATGTTCCCTACTCTACTGTGTGGATTTTCTGGGTTTTATAAGTTCGGGTGAGGGAATAATTGACCAGGAAATTATCCAGCGTTTACTATTGTACATTAGCATTCATATTTATACTCGGTGACATCATAACATAGTGGCGAAGAGGAAAAGTATGGTTCCTACAAAACTGGATTTATTATTACAGCAACAAATGAGGTTAATGGAAACACTCATCAACAAACAAATTAGTTCAACTTCACCATCAAACACACCTATTCAGACCATTGCATCATCGGTCAACGGAATCGCAAATAGCACTACGCAGTTCAATTACGATCCAGATTCAAATGTCACTTTTGATACACGTTACTCGCGCTGCGAAGACTTATTTAGAGTTGATATTGTCGCACAGGACTATGCTTGGAAGGTACAGCTGTTGTTACATAAGTTGCGTTCAGCAGGATATGACAGATATTGTAATTTGATTCTCCCTCAAAACCCAAGAGATAGCCGTTTTGATGATACAGTCATACCACTTAGCCACTTTTTAACATACTATATCGCTGTCTCAAACTGGTAATGAGTGAAAATGATTTCCTATATCATATTGGTACAGTCAACAAACAATACGAGAGATTTCGACTTAGGTCCTTAACAGATGACCGAAGCTCTCATCTTTATATACAGTCTTCAACCTTCAAAGTTTACAGATACTCGAACATGACTGCTCAGTCAGCTAGAAAAAAATTCCAAAGTTAACCCTACATGACATAGCTAATAAATATCAACGGTTGAGTACTTTACAGAAGGATACAAACCTAGTCGAATCAGAGATTCCAAGCTGCGTGTATTACGGCAGATCAAAATAGATCTGCATCATTCAGTTCTGAACCAACTATTTCTAGTGGACCACATGATTCCCCATATGCTGGCTCAACACCACAATATGCTTCATAGAAGACTACACCTTAACAGCTCCGGCAGTGTGGAACATGGCATTTTGCAAAGTTCTGTCCATGCAATCACCATCCTTGCCGCAAGTGTAACATAGACGGTCATAAAGCTGAGTTCTGTCAGACAGCCAAATAGAGATTAAAATAGGGCTGAATCTAGAATTACGAATTATAAACCAGCTGGAAGGTTATTGACTTTACTGGTAACATGTCAAGTCACAACACCGAGTATACGGAAATATAATAAGATTAACATAAGTGGTCATGATGCACGACTGCAGTTGAATAGCGCATCTGACTTTACCATCATTCCAGAAAAACTTCAGAACGATATAGACAGATTTTTTTTTCTTTCACGTTCCTCAGTGGAACATAGGGCTTATTTTATTTATTTATTTATTTAAACGCATAAAAAACTTGGTACAATATGGCACCAAGAAAGATGCGCCACACAATAATAATAAAAGAACATAGATCAAAAAAAAAAAAAGAAAAAATATATAAAAGTAGAGAACGGATAAAGAACTTCATCTGGAAGGAAAAGAGTCATGCTTAACAAGTTCAAACAGTATTCGTTAACTATCATCGGGAAGGGAAGAAAGAAGGAAATTGCAACACGTTCGCCATTGATTACGATTCTTGGCCATATCCGATAACGTTTCGAGCCATCGATTCGAGCTATCTCGCAGACCCCAACCAGGGAGTCGCGACGCACCAACCGATGCTAATATAGCACAAACATTCTTCATCTCACGACGCCGCGTCGTGGACTCGCCACCCCTTCGTCTTTTCCATCCCATCACAGAGCTAGAGAACAGAGACCTGTACGGAAGCCTCTGGGATGACATTCGCAGCACATGTCCAAGCCACTGGAGCCGGTGTTTCCAGATGACAACACTCAAAGAATGGTGATCTCCACTGTGTTCAAACACACGCCGCCGAACCTGAGAGTTACTCACGCGATGATGCCATCCATCGGATGAAAGCAATCCTGCGGAGACAGCGATGATCGAACACGCAGAGTCACCGCACATCCTCAACTCGGAGAGGCCGGATTTCATAGGCGTAGAGCAAGACAGTCTGCACCGAAGCATTGTAAACCCGACCTTTGACAGCCAGGCTAACATCGCAACGGCACCAGAGGTGGCTCAAGTTGATTTATGACACCCTAGCCTTCATTATACGGCTGGAAATCTCATCCGTCACCCCTCCGCCAGCACTCACACAACTACCCAGATTTACAAACTTATCAACAACTTCAAGCGGTTCACCCTCAAGAGTGAGTGCAGGTACAGGCTCCTGCTAATCTTGTAACAGTACTTTGCACTTAGACGGCGCAAAGTACATACAATACTTACAGACTCTGATCGCCAACTGATTAAGTGGGATTTGGGCAGCCTGCATGCTATCGCACAGTAAAACGATATCGTCTGCATACTCAAGGTCGAACAGTCTATCTCCAGGTAGCAGATCTACACCACCTTCACGCACATTCTTCAGAGCCGACTCCAGAATGTCATCGATGGCAAAGTTAAAGAGAAATGGAGAGATCGGTCAACCCTGTCTAACCCCACTGTTGGTTGGGAACAGTGATGATAGTTGGTTGTATGCCCTCACTCTACTTGAGGTGTTTCTGTATAGGGCTTTCAAGATGTTAACAAATTTCTCAGGTACACCTCTCTCTAACAGACAGTTCCAGAGCACAGTTCTGTCCAACGAATCGAAGGCAGCCCTAATATCAAGAAACACAACGATCGTTGGCCTGCAATACGTGTGGTGGTGTTCCAACAACTGACGAAAGGTGAACACATGACCAATGCATCCACGACCTGAACGAAACCCAGCCTGCTCTTCGCGAATCAATCCTCCACGTATTTTGCACAGCCTCGGAATCAAGATAGCAGCCAATATTTTAGACACGACTGGTAGCAGACTCATACCACTATGATTGTCACACGAATTACGTCGACCCTTTTTAAAGATGGGGACGATAATGGCTTCGTTCCACATTGATGGTACACTCTCTGTCTCCCATACCTTCCTGAATAATCCAGTTATAGCCAATGAGTCTCACCACCATCCTTAAAAAAAGCCGGAGGTAAATATTCTGGGCTGGGCGCCTCATGGCGTTTCAACACTTGGAGTTCCTTACGGACCTCCGCTTCGGTAGGTGGGTCGGTACTAACCGACCAAGGAGCAGTCGGGCTAATGACAGTAGACACTGAAGCTGGTGGCCAGCTAAACTGTTTCCCGATGTGCTCGGCCCAGCGTCCCAGGCGTCTTTTCAAGCTGGTAATTGGCGTGCCATCAGCCTCACAGAGGGTCTCGCTGACACCTTGTTTATTGCTGCCGGTGGCTCGGATGAGTTGGAACAGCTTCCAACTGTTGCCAGATGCAGCAGCTGACTCCATCTCACACGCACGTTCTGACCACTAGGCTTCGCGGTGCTTACGTAAACACTGTCTTATCTTACGCGTAAACGCCTTTCGCTTATTGTTGAATTCGTTGCCAGCCGGAATAGACCGGCGTTCATCCAGGAGTTGCGAGGAACTTGCAGAAACCCAGTGATTTTCAGCGGAGCATTCTTTCAAGCCGCAAGCGGCTACACTCGCCCTTTGCATGACACCTTGCAGATGAAGTCAATGTTCATCTATGCTACTGGCGAGGATGCTGGCAAGCATAGATTGTAACTCATTCTGGTATTTCAAAGAAGTAGTAGGTGCTACTAGTTTGCTCACATCAACGTTTATACGACGACTTTTATGAACCCCACCAAATCTCAAGACGAACTTAGCACACACTAATGCATGATCGGAGTCCAGGCATGTGCTCCAGAAGGAGCGACAGTCTTGTATGCATCCTCGTCACCGGAAACTGACAGCAATATAACCAATCTGAGTCCAAGCTTGCTTCGCAGAGGGAGGACGCCAGGTAGCGCTACGGCGATGGCTGTGCCGGAAGTTGGTGCTGGCTAGAAATAGGTTGTGATCCACGCAAAGCTCCAGAAGACGGTCCCCATTATCTGACCTGCGACCATGTAGTCCCCAATGACCACCTGGACGATTCTCCTCTGAGCCTAGACGCCCGACCATTCAAGTCCCTAGCCAGCACTACGATATCCCTCCGACCTGTCTGTTTCAAGAGATCACTCAGTTGGTAGTAGAACTTATCCTTCATTGCATCCGGGTTGCAATCCGTTGGTGCATAGGCAGAGACAACAAATAGACACTGCCTATCTGGCTTACTATTCCTTACTTTCGTATAACCTTCCAGCCTCACAGCACATAAACGACTGTTAATGGGAATCTAGTCGAGCAGTGCAGCTTCGGCTCTAGCGCTCAGTGCGACACCAACACCAGCTACACCGGATGCCCACGCCACAGGGTCCCCGGATAAGCGCAGGTGGTACATACTACTAGAACTTCCAAATGGAGAGGATAGTCGAAGCACTTCACTGGGATCTTGGATGCCGGTCTCCAAAATGCAGCAGACATCGATAGCGAGGCTTCCCAAAGTTCTTACTAACCCTGCCTGTTGTCCAATTTGCATCAGCGTCCGAACATTGTAAAATTAAAATTGTAAAATTAAACATTACTACAGAAACTTCAAGCCACT